ATAATTCTTGGAAGTCTTTGGAATCTCGACATTCTCCTCGAATACCCACATCTCTACCTTCTCCTCGAAGAGATCGGGGTTACTGGCCGTATTTTCGGCAACGATCTTAGCGATGGCGCAGCCCCTATCGAATAAATATAATTAGCCCAAATCGATAGTCCTTTTTAGAGATTGGTATCTTACCAGTTACCAGAGCCCACCACCGTGATCTTGTGCTTGCGCTGATGAGGAGTGATAGAACCCATGATGCGTGTAGAAAAAACAATTGATCTGCGGGAAAGAGGTCCGGAGAAGGTGGGTTTTAAAGGTGAAGAAATCGGTGGGGGCAAGGGTGGAATTCTGAATCGGGTCTGGAACCGGGTGGCTAACCGGACGAGTGACCGAGGTCGGAATACGGTAGAGGTGTGAGGAACAACTATCCGACGTAGGCTGAGATGTAGATCCATACAAGTTATCGTGTCGGTACCCCCAAAGATTTCAGCCTTTTCGGGATTGCCTTCTGATCACGATTTCTGATGTCACTGGAAAGCCGTCGAAATTCAGAGAGGCAATTTAGCGTACGAGAACTTTAATAACGTCAGTCAATGCGTTTTTTTTTTTTTCCCTTGCAACACACATATATGGAACTAGTTGATCTGAAGAACCAAACAACGTTGAGTTCCTGGAAGAAAAGAGTGGAGAGAGTGGATGTAGGCGGTGAACAACTGGAGTCGGGGTTTTGCATTTCCCGTCGCAATTTCGTCTTTTCGTTGCTCGCTGCAGATCTCACGTGCCAACATGGTAAGCTGCAATTATGATTTATCTTGTTCCACTTTCACCCGGTTAATCATCGTTCTACCTTTATAGGCTCCCATCCGCAAACCAACGAGAACTGTTTCGGGCAGAGGCGCGATAGCCAAACCCAGTGTCTTCGGTGACGAATTTCGTACGAGCAAGAGGGATAAACGTCAGATCAAGCACGCTGCTCTCGTGTCTAAGATTGAGAAAAACTCCCAGAAGACTCCCAAGCGTCGACGAGCATCAAAAAAACTTGTTGCCAACCTCGAATCTTTGGCCGATGCCTTGCCGGAGGCTGAAGAATCCCATGATGCCGCCAGTCAGATGAATGTGATCAAGCAGAAGACATTGAGACACAAGCCAGGTGCCTTGAAGCGCCGGGAAAAACTCGAGAAATTGGAGCGGGACCGCTTTAACAAGAATCTGACCGAGTTGTCCAACATAACATCAGCCCCGGCTGCCAACAATGGCGAGACGAGCACCCAGTCGAACCCGACGGCTGGTCGGTGGTCGGCTCTCCGTAACTTCATCTCACAGACGATGGAACAGCAGCCTGTGTTCAAAACGAATAAATAAGGGGTAGTCGGGGCCCCCAAAAAAAGTTCCTCGGTCGGTGACCGGTCTACCACTGTGGTTGCTGTTAGCAGCGAAAACTTGTCCAACAGGTGAACCCTGGCAATAACGCGATAAACATGCATCCAGAGACTCCTAAATTTTGAGTTTTAACGAATACATTGGACTGTACGCGCTCAACCAAAACATGATCGAGCCACTTGCTTCTACCAGAGCTGAAAGGGGAATTCTACACCTGGTTTTAAGCAGGCCTTGCGGTTCAAAACATCCCTATATTCCCGGGGAATCAAACGCCGTGTGGGGCCACAGACGCCATTGAACAGCCCTCAGCCTTAGAAATCAATAACCAAAGGTCCATCATTGTCATGAAAGAGCTGCACCCAGCTTAGTATAGTTTTTAACTCTTTCCGCCCGTAGAAATCAGAACTGAATCTGCAACAGCCCAGACATTGAAAGCTGGGTCTCTAGCCAGCGTATTTTCTCAGGCACAATTCCGCCTAATCCCAATCCAGGCTGCTCAACCCTCTCCAGGAGATTGTAAGCTTCCTTGGAACTCATGTCTGCGCAGAAATGTAGAGTAGAATATCTTTGTCACCTTGGAAGAAACCTAGGCTCCTATGTACACATTTGCTTTAATTGAGATAACCTCCCATCTTGGCATCGCCCTCCACGGATCAAACTAGGGGGATTCGACATCTTGGCATTGTTGTTGACAGCCTACTGCTGTAAATCCTTGTGTTGCGTTAGTTTTATATCTTCGTGCAATCGCCAGATCGATAATGGGTTGATAGCGGTCTCGATTTTGTTCGTGTGAGCTGTGAGTGCTCCACTGGCCACCACATGGCGAAGTGTCCCCCTCCCCCACCCCCTGGGCCATATTTGAAGCAGCTGGAGGATCAGATCAGAAATAACTACGTAGGTGCAGGTCCTTCAAGAACCGTACCGAAAATTGTCACCGAATGTTCGACACATGGCTTCTTGGGCATGGGTGTCAGATCCCAACTTTACTACCAAAAACCATAGATCTAGTTGCTCCGTGGTTGAGTGTTGTCCCTCCAGTAGTACGGCTTGCAACCTTACTTGAGACATAGACATTTAAATCATCTCGTTTTTGCTTTTATTGCATCATTGACACACTGCATATGCATTGTAGTCAAAGTTATCCGTGAATAACCGGACCATCTGTTCGTCGGCCAGATGACTCATCAGATAAGATAACCTGCGGGGAAAGCTATCTGGTATCTAATTCATCGCGTTCCAATCCTCCGAGGTCCTTCCTTTAACTTATTCTTTCAGCACTCTTTATCCACCCGTATAACTCCTCTGTGACTTACTGGCGCTTCGAAATGCTGTGGCGGCATTTCCAGCGTCGCCTCCCGGCCACCTTGGCTCGTCGTGACGTTGTCCGGTGTCGGCTTCCTCAATCATGCAGTTGTTCAGCACGCCAACTGTCTAGCTCCTCCGCCACATTTCCGACATGGTCTCAATTTAACAGGTCAGAATTCACAAGCCAGCCATTTACTGGTAGTTATGAAACTGGAGTGCCTACTCCCGGGCCATTAGGATCAACCCCCGCCTTTGGCGCCCCCCGCATCACACCGAAAGTGTTAAAGCAATATCTCGACCAATATGTTGTCGGCCAGGATCGTGCAAAGAAAGTGCTCAGTGTCGCCGTGTACAATCACTACCAGCGCGTACAAGAGTTGGTGCGCCGGAAGGAAGAAGCAGCCGAGGCTCTCGCAAAGCGTCAGCGGAGGGAAGCACTTGAGATTCATCCCTTAGACGGTATGTCACCTACAAATTTTTGATGCATCGCTAAATTTCTGATTCACTCTTTGATAAAGCAGATAACATAGCAGATGATATTGCAGGCGCGCAAACGACCGCCAGCTTGCCTCAACCCCCCGAATCCCGCTCAAACACCCCCCTGGAGCAAGCAGATTTCGCCGATACGTCGCCGCTACACCTTGAAAAGTCCAATATCCTGTTACTTGGTCCGTCTGGGGTAGGAAAAACACTTATGGCGAAGACACTTGCTCGGATTCTTTCTGTGCCTTTCAGTATTTCTGACTGCACTGTGTTCACCCAAGCCGGTTACATCGGTGAGGACGCGGAAATGTGTGTTCACCGACTTTTGGCAGCTGCAGACTACAATGTAGAGCAGGCAGAGCGTGGAATTATCGTCCTTGATGAGGTGGACAAGATCGCAGCCGCGAAAGTTAGTCATGGTAAAGATGTCGGTGGTGAAGGAGTACAGCAGGCGCTTCTCAAGATCATTGAAGGCACAACCGTGCAGATCCAGGCCAAGCCAGAGAAGAATCCCCGCGCAACCAGTGCCCCGAATAGCTTTCCCTCCAACATTCCCTTCGGGAATGGGTCATTCCAACCTAACAACCCTAACCCAGCCGCCAAGGGAGAAGTGTACAATGTGCGCACGGATAACATTTTGTTTGTGTTCTCTGGCGCTTTCGTTGGACTGCATAAAGCTATCATGGATCGAATATCTCGTGGATCTATAGGCTTTGGTCAGCCAGTTCGGCCAACCTCAACCACTAGTGATTTCCCTGGCTCGCCAAATACCACTACCGACCAGCCACTTCTAATCCTCCCCGGGTCCGAGGAAGAAGCGCTGTATAAAAAGCACCTTCCATTCTTCTCCTCTGCCCCGCCGGCTGGCTCTGGCACCGAGCCTACTTTTTTCAATGCACTCGACCTGTTAACACCATCAGACCTACAAAGCTACGGCTTCATCCCTGAGTTGATTGGCCGGATTCCCATCACCGCCGCTCTCTCCGCACTGTCTCAACCCTTACTTATGCGCATCCTAACCGAACCCCGCAACTCCCTTCTAGCCCAGTACACGACCCTATTCTCTCTTTCAGGTATCGAGCTGCGCTTCACCACACCGGCACTCCATATAGTCGCCGGCAATGCCTTCACAATGGGCACTGGCGCACGCGCGCTGCGAACTGAGATGGAGACCATTCTTAGTGATGCCATGTTCGAGGCGCCCGGCTCGAGCGTGAAATTCGTCCTTGTGACCCAGGCTGTTGCTGAGCGCAAGGAACATCCCATCTACCTTGCCCGTGGACAGGGTGGGCGTTTCCATGCAATGATTTCTGCAGAGGAAAGCCAGTGGGACGCAAAGACTCGCGGGGGAAAGAAACACCAGAATCCAAAGACTAAGACGCAATATGACGCGGATGGCTCCAATGGGTCGTCCTTCCAGGAGTACCGGAATCGAGCGTCTGGTTTAGTGTAAGTAAAATGTATGCTTTCATCTCATTCCGGGCTACTATTTCTATCTTTTCGGGCGTTAATATTTTTCAAATCCCAGTTGCATTCGCGGCAATTAGCGTGCAGCTTAGCAAACTATACTTTTGGAAATTCCGAACTTTCGTAAGATAGGTTCTCCATTGCTAATCGCGCATTGGATTTTATTTTGAATGCAATTGGACAAAATTAGCATACTTGACTGCAAGTCTCCTGGTAGTCATTCATAGATTTTGGATTCATTTCATGGCCTCATAGATGCCTAGGCATGATAAGTACAAAAAAGAAAACGAAGGGGGTATCATAAAAGACTGTGCAAAAAGAGGAAGAAGAATGTGAGCACAATCATAATCTGCTTCAGTCAAATTTCGCAAAGATCACTTGTAGGGAGCAGCGTATTTGTTCGCGCCATTGCCATTGCCGTTCGGGTTGCATGTGAAGGTAGACTGAATAGCGGCATTGGATTTGTGAGAGGTCCAGTTAGGCGTCTGAGGTGTGGTCACAGTCATCGGGGTAGCTACTTGGCTAGTAGAAGGCCGTTGCTTGGAAATGCCTGACAGGTAGGCCATGAGGGCCGCCGAGTCTATTTTGAACCGTTTGAAGAAATGGCCGAAACCAGCTCGCATGACGGTCATATGGCCCCATTTTCCCCACCGTGGCCCAGTGAGAGGACCGAAAGACGTGACAGCGACGAAATTCCGGAAACGTGGTATGTTAATCAATGACCATCCTGCGAATAATTCGATAAGATGGTCCGCGTCGCGTTCAGCTTTGTTCTTGATTTTGAGGGTATGGTGCTCTGTACGAGTACCGTATTCATCAAGAGAGAGTGCGATGATGTTGCTTTTTGAGTTGGGGTGTAGACTAGCTTTATCGAACAAGTCCACGCGAGGATCCGTGACGTTGTTCTTGATGATCAAGGTGTAGATGAGCAGTAGGCTACATTAGTGTTTGTTAGAAGCTTGACCCGAATAGTGATAAAAAGGTAATGACATACAGTCCATGATCTTGCGAGAAATTCTCATCGCCCAGTCTCGTTTCGATCCATTCAAGTATCCCGGGGGGAAACATCAACGTCCACGATTTGCGTTTGTGTTTGTTTGCACCCCGAATCCATTGAAGAGTGACCGCAACTCCTTTGAGGTCTGTCAACATGTCTTCTGTGAGAAGTATGACACCGCCATGTGGAAAGATGCGTAGATGGTAGTCAGTGGGCGAACAAAAACGGGGATCAAGTAATTCGAGTGGTCTTTGAATGCGAACAATCCAGAAATTGAACGAGCTGAAAGGAAGCACAGAACTGAGTGGAGGATCTAACGTATCGTATCCGGCGAACGATTCGTGAAACTGCTCTCGATTAGTTGATTGACAATTTTTAACGTGTAGATGCTGATCACATACTATGGCCACACCCTGTCTGCTATTCTGCACAAATTTTGCCCAATCTCTGGGGCTTTCGCTTGTGAAAACAATTTTCTCATGGTACCTCAAGAGCAGCTGCAGAAACTGCAGTTCCTGCCGTGCTTCTTGGCTGTCTTGGGGAAAGTGCAAATAGAAAATTCCTGCCTTCGATAATTTTCCACCTTCTTGGATTGCCGCAAGTTCTTCCACATTGATTTTGCGGGCTCTCATGATCCCTTCGGCCGCTTGGCCCAACTGAACTCCTTGAACTGCGATATTATTTTGTTGCTGGGTGTGAGCGGAAATTGAAATGTCCTTTAGTTCACTCGCGAGTGGGAAGGTTTGGACCCGTGCTAGGGCTGGCATTTCTCGTGGTTGCAAGGATCCACTCATCCTCATATCACGGTGGAACTTGGACCGTTCTAAAGAACTGCCAGACTCCAGGCTTCCATCTGCAGTAGCAGGCTCATTTCGCAGTGAAAGCGATGTATCAGGCAAAAAGCCAAGCGATTGTCCACTAGATTGGCCAGGTCTACTTGAGCCTAGAACTTCGATCGGTGCGAGCATAGTGCGAGCGGCAACGAGTAGAGGAATGCCGGGTGGCACTTCATCCTTGGGACGTGGAAATTCGAATTCCTTGGAGCCACGTGACCACGCAACCCAGGCAAGTTTGCTTAGCCCATTAGGATAGTGAATGGCGATGAGGTCGTCCTTTCGCAGATCTTCTGCTAGATGAAACAGGTTTTCGTTAGTGTCGCTGAAGCCTTCGACCCAGCCGGTACTCAGCACAGAATTTGTCGGCTATGGCGAATGTTAGCATTCTATAAAAGAAACAAATACTCGGATCTGATACTCACACTAGATTCGCACAATCTTTCATAGTCTCTGACTGTGCACAGGTGCTTAAACCATATCTCAACTTGGTTTGTTCTCGAGTTCTTAGCCAAGATCAGAGACGATTGTGCCTTCGAGCTGGTGCCACATAATCTGAAAGCACCGAGAGGTCTCTTGCTGGGTCCGATAAACACGTGGACAAGAATTTCCCCCAGTGCCCTATTGCAAAAGTATTTACTAATCCTAATGCAACCGGGCGCCCAGCAATCACGCACCGGCATTCTTGCAATTTGGGCCGCGATGGAAAGGCTGGGTTGAGCAGATGCTCCAGCTCTAGGTTCGGTGGGAGCAAATGACTGAGCATGGGCTAGTTGGTTTCCATTTAACCCGATTGAGTCTGAAGATCTTGACGTAACCCGAGAATGGGTTGGGGATGGGCTACGAGGCGCGTAATGATCCCCCATACCACGCAAAGAAGACCTCGACGGTCGACCCGGGGGCGATGACTGTCGAAAGGGCGATGACCTTCGAGAAGACGGTGACCGTGGCCGACGAGAGGGCGATGACCATCGAGGGAGTGGGGAACGTGATCTTCGGAAGGGCGGTGATCGACGAAATGGTGGTGACCGACGAGAGAGCTCTGACGGTCGGTATGTATCGGCCACCACCGTGTTGTTAGGCCGCCTGGTTGAGTTTGGTTTATAGCTGTCCCAGCCTCGGACTGTCTCGCGGGTGATCTGTGAGTCTCGATTCTCAGTATGCATCTCAGAATTAACCATCGCACGGGGCATAGTTGGAATGGCTGGCGACTGAGTTTTAGGGCTAGAACCGTTGAACGCAGCAGGTTTAATTGAAGTAGCCTCCGCACGGGCTCCTGGAAGAACAAAAGAGGGAAATACCGAGCTCGTCGAGGCCGAAGGAATGGTAGGCCTGTCGATATTGGCACATGATGGGGGGCGTGGATAAGGAGATGGTGAGGGTGCAGTAAGGGTAGATGTTGACCGCTCAGCCGGATTCGTCAAAGCGGCCTCACCTGGCGGCGAGAAAGTAGAAACAACAGTATCTACAGAATCGGCAGGCTTGATGAGGTTGGCCTGTAAAAGGGGCTTTGATTGGGTAGCTGGTGGAGACATAGAAGTAGTAGAACCTACAGGACCAACTAGTCTCTCTGGATTCGACAGTGCACTGGGATCAGAAAACACAGGCGACGAGGAAACTAACGCGGTGGAGCCCAAGTTCGAAGAGCGATGCACCGGGGGAGCCAACACTGATGAGGGTGCGAGAGGAACAGCTTTCTCGAGCTGCTTTGCAGCTTTGCCTTTTATTTCACCAGTTTGTGGCGTTGGTGGACCGGCCAAACTGACAGTAATCTCAGAAGCGGATTGATTTTGGGCTCTCGGGGACTTGGGACTTGTTACAGATGAGCCCGCGGCTGTGGTGGTGAAGCCTATGTTCATCCTTGGTGCAAATTCAGAAGGTCTCCTCAGCTCCATTTGTGACAAATCCGGTGCTCGTTCACCCCATTTGTGATCACGGTAGGCGCGCTTGGCCCCCGGGCCCGTACCAAAGGAAGACAATGTTGGCTTTGCTGCTTGGGGGGGGGTTATCTGGCGTGCCGGGTATTTTTGCTTGGCACCAAGTTTCTTGGCGAGCTGAGAAAGTCGCGATGTTGAAAGCTTGTTTGGGGTTGTTGATTCCGTTTGTGCAATCAAGGTTGCTGATCCTGGAGGCTCGATCCAGTTTGTTTGCGCACTGGAGGTAACTAATCTCGGAGGTGCTCTTGGTTGCAGCGATTGGCGAGTCGTCGCATTCTTTGATAGCGGTGGGGTTTCGGCTGAAACAAACAAGGCCAAAGCGGTGGAGTCCTGTGATAGGCGACTGGAAGCTCTGCGGGACGCAGTTCCTGCTTCGGGCCCATGGATGTCCGCGATATCAGGATGGGCTAGTTGATTTGATTCAGCTTGACAGAGGCTTCTCTGTCGTGCCCTTTGCTTTCGTTTGCGCCTTCGGTCTTCTTTTCGCTTCTTTGTCTTCTTCTCCAACAAAGCCATATGCTTTTCCCATGCCTTAAGATTGAAGGAAGGTATCCTGCCCTCCAAGATTTGCCTTTTTTTCTCTTCCCACCCATTTAGTGTCTCTTCCGAAGAAAACATTTCCCTTGGCTCCCAACTGCACCTGTCCATGCTGTACCCAGTCCACTCGACCAAATACTGAGTGACATAAATACCTTCATCATCCTCAGAGTCTGGATCAACGTAAAGCCTCCGTTCCGCATGGATGTCATTCACGAGGTACTCTGCTTCCGCTTCACTTTCTGCGGTAGATGCCAGCGAGTCGGCATCACCGATTCCACTTCGGTCAGAGGTATTTTCCATTTCAGAATCAGATGCCATTATATTCGTCTGGCAATTGAGTCAACAAATGTTTCATTGTGTAACGTTCAATGCTCAAGGTGCAAGCGAGACAGTGCTCTCGGGATGTAACTTTGTCGGGGCTTCGGGGATGTGAAGATAGATCCAATGCATACCGTATTTTATATTGGATATGATAATGAGTAAAGCGAAAAAAGAAGCATTTAGATAATAGCAAAGGCAAGACAAGCAAGAATAAGAGTAAGAAAGTCATTAGTTACTGCCAATTGATTCAAGATACCGCCCGCGCATCAAAGACCAACCCAACCCACGTGATATTCACGCTAAGCCACAATGGGTGGGCACGATTAAGGAGAGACACTCGGCCCAGGTATCACCAACTATCCCCTGCTCATTATCTATTACTTGCTGTGTGTGCGCTCCCCTAGATTTCTTTCTACCTGCTGCAAGCTCAGTACTGACATATCTGACTTTCGCCCTCTCAAGTCTCCAAGTACACTCCTCAGCCTTCACTTCCCCGCCACGTTTACCTGTACTTCGATACCACCTTTCGAGCTTTACTAGCTCGATCACATTCAAAATGGCCAACGATGAATATGACGTGAGTTGATTTCGGATGATGAGCTTCTTCATGTCTCGGAAATATATGCTGATGATGAGGTCTCCCGCAGTTTCTCTTCAAAGGTAACGTCGCCACCTCATGCTGATGCCCGCCCGTCTTATCCACTACCCCCCCTGTGCTCCCTTCCCAATAGACCTCGAGGCTGACCGCGGAGATGTTATGGAGTGAATAGTGGTGCTTATCGGTGACTCTGGTGTTGGTAAATCTAACCTCTTGAGTCGTTTCACCCGCAACGAATTCAACCTGGACTCGAAGTCAACGATCGGTGTGGAGTTCGCGACCCGGTCTATTCAAGTCGACTCGAAGACAATCAAGGCACAAATTTGGGATACCGCTGGTCAGGAGCGCTACCGTGCGATTACTTCTGCCTACTACCGTGGCGCTGTCGGCGCCCTCCTCGTTTACGATATTAGCAAGCACCAGACCTACGAGAACGTTAACCGGTGGTTGAAGGAACTACGGGATCATGCCGATTCGAACATCGTCATCATGCTTGTTGGTAACAAGAGCGATTTGCGCCACCTGCGTGCGGTCCCCACAGAGGAGGCTAAGCAGTTCGCCAGTACGTTTCCCGACAATCGGTTTCAATGTGTCGCTAACATTAAGTAGGCGAGAACAACCTTTCATTCATCGAGACCTCCGCGCTTGATGCCAGCAACGTTGAACTGGCATTCCAGAACATCCTTACAGGTTGGTTGTTAATTCTTTGGAGTTTGGTATAGAACGCTAATTTCGATAGAAATCTACCGCATCGTCTCCAGCAAGGCTCTCGACAACGGAGAGGGTGGCCAGCAGGTTCTCGACCGCCGTCCCGTTATCGACCCCAGCAAGCAAGACAGTGAGCAGAAGCCGGGCTGCTGCTAGATTACCATTCGCAAGGATGATGCACCGACTGCCACGACTCTTCTTTTGTTATGTGACATTGAAATGGTCTTGATCTGTGTTGGAGTCTGAAATTCGACGGCTGCAAAGATGATACACAGGCGGGATCTGTTAGAAACCACACGGGAAGATAGGGGTCTACTTTACCGGAATTGATGTTACCAGCTGCCAGATTCCCCTTCTTCAGTCCTTTTTTTTTTGTTCGTTTTTCCCGTGGCCTTCAACGAAATTGATCCCTTTTTTTTCTGCTCGCCCAACTGGTGTGCTTGATATGTTTCTACGATGGTGAACACAGCTTGGTTGGGCGTCTTAACATTGCGGCTGCGTGGCTTTTGTATGAAGATTCTCCAATTCCTATATTCATTCCACTCCTTTTTCTTGGCAGTAGAACTGTACAGTGCTGTAGTGCAAAGTCAACAAGGAGACAGTGCCAATGCCTCTAAACATCAAGACAGGGTTCATGTGCTCCACAAGGCAATTGGTTTATCCGGGCCAGCCTTTTCCACATAGCCCCGTATTGATAATTAGCGCCTGTGTCCTGGGACGACACCTGCCAGGGGAGTACAAAATAGGCATTTATTTACGGTTTATAGTGCTGACAGAGGGCTCTTGCATTTTGAAAATCTGCGAGAGTAACCATATACTTTTTTGTCACCTTTAATGTGATCAAGGGTGGAACCAATGTGAAACCGCAAAGAGAAAGCCCATAAACAAGTGTGTTTTATTCCGATGAATTCGAAAGGTCCATTGACACAAGTTCTAGTCTAGGACAATGCCCATGTCACGACCAGCTACTGCAGATCGAAATTCCCCAACCTCAAGCCCACGTTCATTCATGACATAATCCAACGTGTCGCCAAATGTTTCACCGTTGTTGCGGAACCATTCCCCTAAAGACCAGACAAACTCCTCTACCTGTTCCTTCAACAAAGCATGGTCGCGCAGCCATAGTATCTGACCGGGATCGAGCTTCAGCATGTCCTGCATAATATAGTAATGTGGGATCTCGTCACCCCAGCCTTCATACCCTGGGTCATGGGAAAGGTCATTGCGAAAGCGAGATCGGAATTTGGCTGGTGACTCAGCATAGTTTCTCGAATGAGCTGTGTGGAAGTATTGTTGAATGGAGGCCTCAGGGCCCATCTGAAACAGGGAGTGATCATGCGAAGAAAGAGAAGTAGTTGAAGGAGATGGATAATTCAGGTGTATGTTGAACGAGAGTTGCTGGCTGCTGTCTGGATAACGCTTGCGGAATTTGCGTTGGATAGTCCCATTACTAGGACATATATAATTCTGGACAATATCACCCATGACGAGGCGCAAATCCTCAATCTCGGCCAGCTCTTGGGTGGACCAGTTGTGGAGCAACTGAGCGCGCTCCAACACCACATGGCGAAGACAGCGAGAATGGCGATCATAAACACTAGAATGGAATGCACGGTGGTACAGCCATAGCCGGTAGACTGCGCGGCGCAGCCGTAATCGCTCATCGTTGGTGAGCGATCGACGATTCTCGAAGTCTATCTTCCATTTCTTGAACGGGTAGATCGTCTCCCATTTTCGCGCTACCACACCAAGCTGGATAACTTGTTTCAAAAGAGGATCAGATATAGGCGCGTGTCTGATAATATGAGCAGGCTGGCTCTCATTTTGCGTTAGAACTTGAATGATATCTTCGAGGGGACCGAATTCGGTCTCCGCAGCTCTGGCTAGGATGTGCAGTTTGCTTGTTGAGTTGAGGACGCGGTGAAGTCGACGGCAGATGACTGATAAATTTAAGACATCGGCGACTGAGTCGCATGAGCGAAATACATGGAGCAGAAGCTCCGCTGCAAGCTGATCAATTCGCATGATGGAAATGTCTACTCCGTACGCTGATGCTGGAAAGATCAACAGCATTAGAATGACTCATAGAGTGTCAATAAGCGGTGACTAACCAAGCGAGAGGTTCTTGTAATTTGTATCAAGTAGTTCGAAAGAAAAAGGACGTTAAATCTTTGAGTATTTATGTATGAACCAAGTTGAAAAGTGTTGTCACGAATTGAAGTGATCAACACCCGTGAACTTGTCGCGCGTACGGTGGACCTATTGGACACAGACCCCGCCGTTGGGGCTAATAGAAGCAAGAGACAGCGTGGGATGAAGAGTAGACATGTTGGAAGAGCAATCTCCTTGTAGCCATTTAGGGCTAGCCAACCAAAAAGATGCCATGATAGATTGTGTCAGGAGGCAAAGGCAGACGGGGGCTTTAAATGGCGCTTAGCTAATGTTGCCCCTTGTCGGCGTTCACAGGATCCAACCAATCTGCCTTCAAGTTATATTAAAGACTAAGCTCTCCACTCCGTAGATGGATGGCATTGAAACTATCGAATGAAACGAAACAGATATAAATAATCAACTTTTGAAATTAACCAGGATGAGACTTTGCCCCGACGCCTTAACAGATCATGATGAAAGCGTTGCATCAAATATACACATGTAGTCGAAACATCATCCCGAGGGATATCAAGTCTAGAAATAGCACGACGAAACAAAAAGATTAATCCCCTATGCAAACAGCTTCCTTGTGTCCAACGCATCCACCTTCCGCACAGAGTTCTCGGACAGTCCCAGATCGGAGCGTTTGGCCACCCGATCAGTCTGGCCATCTCGGCGCTGGGAGTAACGGCCAGCCTTGCCCTGTCGGATGTCGCTACGGACTTGGTTGGGACTGACGTACTCCTTGTTCTCGTAGATAACGGGTCCACCAAAGCTGCCTTCGAGAATGACAATGGGGGTCAGAACGAAGCGGGGACCAATCTCGACCAGAGAAACTTCAGGCAGGGCGTTGTCCTTGCCCTTCGGTACGGGCTTAATAGTCTCCTCGCCGTCCTTCTTCTTGCCAGGCTCAGACTCGCGGATCTCATAGACGCGAATCCAGATCTTCCCATCCACTCCAAAAATTCCAATGATGCGGTCGACGAATGGCTTCATGCCTCTGACACCACGCTTGGGCACACAGAAAACTCCGCGCAGCATCTCCCGAACAAGCGCACGGTATTCACTACCAGGGGCACCCATATCCGGGCCTTGCTCATCGAAGGAGCGATCGAACACAACCAAGCCGCGGCCGCCCTTTAGGCAATTCCCTGCGAATCCAGCACCGAGCTCGCCCATTGTGTGCAGGTTGTTGAGATGGAACTTAATGGTGGGTCCATTGGGAGGGCGTGAAAGCCAGAGATAAAGATCCTGGCCGTTCTTCTTGGCCTCGAGGAAGAAGATAACGTTGCAGGAATGCAGGTCGGCAAGAGAGTTCAGGAGGAGGTTGTATCCGGCAGCCTTCTTTTTCGTATCGAGCTTGGTCTCTTTGTAGGTATGGGGCAGGAGGCCGCAAATATCGGACATTAGGTGTCGGTGGCTAGTGAAAAGTAAATTGTCAAATCAGTGAAACCATTCAGCAGATCCAAAGGCGCAATGTTCATACCGGTAGGAAGCGCCTCTGGAGGTCAAGATGAGTACTCGGGTCTTGGGCATGAATCCAGAAGCAAGCTGCTTCTTCACAACCTCAGCCGCCTCGCCCTCGTCGGACTCTTCCTCTTCGCTATCGGTGGTGTCGTCCTCCGCATTGAGGAGCTCCTCCATCTCGATGTCCTCGTCTGAGATATCCTCGGTGGGCTGTCTAGCCGCCTTCTTTGAAACACTCTTGTAAACTGATGCCATCGTGACTGTTGATTGTGTCAAAAATGGAGTTGAAATTAATTGCGCAAAAGAAGGCCGAGATCAAAAAGTTGACGGCAGAATATTTTTTGTTCTCCACCGCCCTGAGCCTTGCTGTGTCACGTGCCAAGTGGGCTACGAGTTAATTTGCCGTCGTTAACCACCCTATTTTCCTGCCAAAACATTCCAATGTGGTAAAAGATCAAGTTTATTTGTTGCTATCTTACACAACCTTGCTTCACTGATTCATTGTAGAAAATGTGATTCACTAGTACTAAAATTTTGTTTCAAATTATCTACCTGAAAGTTTACCTGCCTATTCTCACTCTAAAAAAGTAGGCTGAAATCCAATGGACCAAAAAGTCTCGTGTCAAGAAATATTGTACACATCGTCCCACAGCTGTACCTGATTCTATATGAAAACTGAGTATCAAACTACTTAGATTGCGGCTGTGTTCATTCTAAAATGTCAACAAGGTTAATTGCAACATGGTGCAATGATGGAGGTTTAACCTTGGTTTGGTTAGTTTGGAGATCTGACAGAATTCCTTCAAGCAAAGGACAATTTAGTATGACGGAAATCCCAACGCTCTTTGCAGGTTTGCGAAGCCTTCTTGAGCAACCTTCAAGCCGGCAACAATATTTGCAAATTCCAATCTCTTTCGGAAATCCCAATCTTGGCCCCGATAGACGAGACCGTATAGCAAGCCAGCAATAAATGTATCCCCAGCTCCGATGGTGCTGTAGACTATCAGTATGGTAAAATTTGTACTCTAGTGCATCGAGAAGGTTAAAACTCACTCAACGACTCCCATATCTTCAGTATGCGCCTGGACATGAGCAAAGTTGCCAGTCCTTGGTTCGAGTGCTGCAGCCCCGGTATGACCCCAAGTACAGCACAGCAAGGATCTGTAAACGATAGGTTAGATGATTTCTCTGGGAATTTATGTGGTAAAGCCTACGCTCGGCTTGTCTTCAATGATTGATCCCGCAAGCAATACTCAGCGTATGTATATCCATTGTTCTGCTCAGCTGTTAGTTGTGCTTGGAAAAAGTCGACAATAATCTTATTTGGGCCCAGCCCTTCGAGTAGATAACAACGTCTGCCGCGTCTGCAAGCTCCTGCAATCCTGGTCGACCTGGCTTTTCTACCTCAACACTAATTTCCGCCCCTGGAAAATGCTTCCGGAGATAAAGAATACATTCCAGTGTTACATCTGGTGCACGGCCCTAAGTCCAAGTTAGCACGGTTTGTGACCTTGATTCGCGATGGGCTAAGCAACTCGCCAATATTTAACGCACCTCAAAATGAAACCATGGCCGATCAGTTACGGAACGTAGGGGCTCAACAGCAGTTGAGAACTCAGTGCGAGTCATTTCGGGCAGCTCTTTTTAATTGACAATCGTCCTGCTGCCGGTGGCCTGACTCATTATGATGAAACTGGAGGCTGGCTCTCTGAAATTCTCTCGGTAAATGCAACTATCCAGCCGAACCATATTCCATAAGCTTGATTGGATCTGCTGAGATACCGCCGATGTTTTGGAGGGAAGCACGGTAATGAGATTTAGGGATGGTTTGGCACTCGACGGCCCGTATTGTAACAGTTGGCCAAGAACTTCGAGAGTATTTGGGCAATTCCCACCACGCCGGCGACTGATCCTGGACGCACGAAGCTTCTCATCCTCACCTGGATAATGGGGGACTCTGTCCGAAATTTGTGAATATCAGACTCTCAAATGCTAGCAACTTCAAGGCACAGCAGAAATAACTCACGTTAAAATTGTGTCAAGGTAGCACACCCCTATAGCTACTAGAGTCATATTGCTGGTTCTGGCCAGAAGCTAACTCCGTTTAAAATGACGAGGAGTTAGAATTGTGAATTGATCGTTCATTTAATCAGTGCTATTGATCGAGTCGAGGATGCCTGCGGTTCTTCAAGTTAGGTCCATGGGCACGGGTCTACTTGAGGGTGAATTAGTCAGCATTTCTTAACTGTGGCCTACCAGCGTCTGTGTCGAAATCCACGGCTGGCGTGTGTGTGCTTTGTATCACAATGATGTTTGGCTTGGCATCAAAAATAATTTCGAAGTTTTGTAGTACCACACATAGTCCACAGTGAGTCATAATATTTACCAAATAGCCTATTTCCATGCAGCCAGTAACTATCATGAACCTTTAGTTCTACATCCCCTGATTGCCACTGAGACGACTAGTCCCTCGATACAAGTCTAATTAGGGTAGCATTCATCATGTGATCAGCATATGAAGCGCACGTGCCAATTAATGCCCGCTGCGCACCTTGACACAACGACCAGAGCATCTACTTCTCTTTGCATGCTTTCTAAGAAGTTACAAGGTAAAAAGGGAAGAAGGCCTCTTTTTCAATATTTTTACTGAAATGTGAACCTTTAAGTCCATTGATGTGCGTCGCTCAAAGTAAAGGTATCAAGAAGGAGGCGGGAGACCGCAGGATGAAATTGACTTTGAACAAGGCAAACTAGGAGGCATGCGATCTACAGACATCTTATTGTCTCTTACGTTTGTAAAATATAAAGCGAGCATTGATGTGGCTGGCAAACACTTTGCATGTCCAACTGATCTTTTGTATCCCATGCCAGTTATATAATCGATTAACACTGTTCATGGATCCTACTAGTATCCTCACCACCTCATCTATATCATTCTGTCACTGAGACTATCTCTTCAGCCATGGGCCAGCGGAACAAAGTTTTAGAGACCGACACCCCAACTGCAAAATTCCTCTACACAATCATCAAGCAGTTGGACCTGAAGTCGGTCAGTTTATTGCCCAACCATTGACTATTGATTGATTTAACCTTGAATTTGATAGGTCGATTGGAATCGGGTAGCCTCTGATGTTGAAGTCTCTAATGGTCACGCTGCTCGTATGAGGTATTCCCGCTTCCGACAGCAGATGGAAGGAACCACGGGGGCAAACAAACCAAAGCGAAAGAGCAAGAAGGCAAAGACCATCGAACCCCCTGCTGAGATGCAAGGCATTTTCCCAATGGCCCCGCCACTCATGATGCCCACCATTGAATCAAGTGATTCTTCACTTCCGGGGAACCCTTTTGTAAAGTGTGAACCGGGCACTGAAGGTAACACAAATTTACAGAGCTTAATGCATCATCCTCCACATTTCATGTCGGAGACTAGCACTGAAGGACATTATTACTTTCCTCAGGATTTTGCCTCAATGCAGTTTCAGCTGGCGTCAAGCATACCATCTGGGATACCGTCACCCAGTCCAACATCATCGTCCTTCCTGAATCCATACCAGTTCCCAACCGTGTCAGCCGGTTACCCTTATTCATCACCCAGCACTCAATCTGGCTTCGAAATGCCGGAGTTTGGCCAATTGCAACCTTTCACGAATCACTTCCCAACCATTGGCTGGATACCATGTCCCCCTGCTCGCCAGGGTGGTCCGATTGTCAAAGTCGAAGACGAACAGCAGACTGAGGAGGAATTACCAAGTACTGGTAACCAAGAAGTTCAAGCAGATCAGCATGTTATTGTCAAAGTTGAAAAGATCGATGATTAACCAGGCTTCGTTGGAGACTAGAAGGGCCTCGTCCAAATTTTCATTAGTTATTATGACTCGTTATTACCATCAAGTATGCTGATTTAGTCTTGATGTTCTCTCCGACTTGCATGATGTAAGCGTAGTTTGTTTACGTCTCCTATTAAGAGCTTCAGACAGTGCAAAGAAAATCGAGACTCACCATACTGTTAAACAACACACGCCATATGACTTACCTTTAAAAATTCAAATCCAGTAAGCTCGCTCGTTATTGTGAAACATTCCATCAAGGCATGGATTTTGTCATCTACAGGGAAGAACTTGAACAGCTTACAGAGTCTGCAGAATCTTGTCTCATGGTCAAATTAAAAGACGCATTCACTAGGTTGTATACTATTAGCTATTTGGACATAGTGGGTATGCATGCCAGCCCGCGTTTCATGGCTGTCACGAATGAAGTGCTGCACCATCTCGATTGTTATCAACACTCGGCGAAGAGAAGCCAAATATGGGGTTTTGATTAAAAGTATAACGCAAGCTCATGTCACCATGACAGTCTGCCGAAAGGCTAGCTGTGGAACAAACAGTAAGGGTCAAAATAGATGTTGCTATTGCTAGATTGATGAAAGAGCTTGTTTGAATTTAAGTCGAGGGCAATGAGTCGCTAAGCAATCGACATTGAATTCCACAGGGGGGACAACGGGCTAAGCCATCTCCCGGGTGATTTGTCACTTGTGATCGTTTTTATTTCTACCCAGAATTTGATTTATCTTCACAAGCATCTACTTTTATTGAACAAGCTCGGATAGTTCCTTCCATGATCGCCAATGCAATGCCTTTCTACAAAAACAAGTGTCCTGACAAGGAGTACCTAGATTCGATCAAGAAACATACCGATAGGGAAACAAACAAGGTACGATGTGTCGAGAACTTCATTGAGACTTTGACTTGAACCCACAGTTGACATACTAAAACTCGCGTCGCAGGTCAATCTCGCGCTCGTGGCCAACGACTTGAGCTATGTTAGCGGAAAGTCGTTTTACAAGAAGTATACCAAGCTGAAGAAAGCACACAATCTGACCAAAGATCACATCTATGGCAATGAGAAAGTAAGCCGATCGAGCAGCCAGAGAGCTCTTCCACTAAGGCGGCGCCTACGAAAGTGCCTCAGACCCGCAAAGGGAACCGCCGAGATCACAAAGAGCGTCCTGGATATTATGAACGAGCACATCAAGGCATCTGCAGAGCAGTGCGATGCATTGCTGAAGGGCAAAAGCTCGGAGAGGGATAGCAATAACGAAGCTTCACCCGCCGAGTTTTCGTGATAGAGGTCTTCGGTGTGCGAAGGTTGAAAATTTCAGCCGGGGAATAGGGACCTAGGAGATGATAGTGTCTAAATTAACATGTGCTCCACTTCAACGGGAAACACATCTTGTAGAGAGGCGTTGCTAGGAGCTTCGGAAGCGCAATTCTGGACCTTCAAGTACTTGGCTAGCAGGTCCTCTGAAAGTAACTAGACCGAGTGAAAACATTTAGTAGATGTGAAACTAGATATCATCGATGCCCCTGCGCTGGATTTGAATAGTCAAAATTCATAGTAAACTAAGTGGCCGGCTAGATAGCAACCAAGCTAGCAAACATCGAAGACTGCAAATTAACAAGGACTCGAAGATGCTGACCTTCAATCTCCAAGCAAAAAGGTGTGCCGTGAGCTCAATGTGTAAAATAACGAAAGCTCAGTGCTATGGATAGGAGTGATGGCAATGCATCAAGCTCTAAAGCGCTTCTCAACTAGGCAATGGTACAATTTGAATCTTCGAAGATTACGATAGGGCCGACGTGATCGGCCGTGATGGACTGCCAGGAAGGATCTCCGGGGAGTTCGGGATACTTGTCAGAGCGCTCGAACTCTTTGGCGTTCTTCATAATGCTGAAGTAGTATTTCCTGCTGCTGGTTGTCAACAATTGCAACAAAACTCAAAGCATGGCTAAAAGAGCTTACGCCGCTTCGGGGCTCATATTAACGCCAACATCGAGTGAGACGTTGTCCCAGTTGATCTGTCATAACCAGTAACATTAGCATTTAGAATTGGACGTAGGGATTATGAACTTGGAGATATTGTGTAAAACCTGGGCTGGAATTGAGGGCTGCATACCTTTCCCTTCTGAGAATTTTCCACACAGGTCAGAAGAAAGGCTATGGCCTGCTCCTCAGGTGTGTTGACGGAAGTCATTCTGGTGCGATTATGAGAATGAGTTGGTCGATGTTTCTTTGATGTGGCGAGACACTCGATGGTAGAAGTTTAATAGCTGGGATGGGAGAGGAGCGATGAAGGAGGCAAGGTCCTCAATTTTCTTTCGATGGCCCTTTGACGCGTTTCGCTCTCGGCGAGTCGATGTTAGCTTCTTATCAAAATAGCATCCCTCATTCTGTGTACATCTTTGCCTAACAAAAAACCTTTCTTGGCCCAAGTACTATAATAAATGATATTTGGCAAGAGCATTTTGCAAGAAACGTTGAAGGCATTTTTTTCTGGACGACAATGAAGATAGGGACTTAGAAATATTCAAACCAAATGAGTCAAAATCCCCCATCCACAGCTCCTGATGTAGCATGCATTTCCTATGTGGCATCAGTCCAAACGAATCTCAAGATGGCCTTAGAACAGGAGCAGAAATGATAAATTTCATTCTTAAAGTGCAAGCTAACAGCAGGATGGAGCTTATCAAAGGGGTATCCTATCAATTGAACAGCAAAGAAACTTGCAAAGGGTATATCACAAATGGGTAGAAAAATAGTGCTAAGATCTTGAAATAGCTCTAACAGAGATTTTTGGTTGACAGGCGTTATATGTCTGCCATAACGGATTCCACAATCTTTCGCTTGTACTGTGACAAAGCCTGGTCCTTTTTCTGCATCTGAGCACGGAGTCTTGCGTAACGCTGCTTCCATGTTGCCTCAGAAACAGGCTGGCTGGGATCATCTTCATCAAAATCAAGGTTCACAGGTTGATTGGTGTCCTTATTCTCACGACTCAGACCGGGAATCGCGTTTGAATGGCCAGACGCACCCATACCTCCTGTACTAGGATTCATATCTGTGAGCGTGATTTGCATCGAAAACTGGTTTGAAGTTTTGTACTCATGGGAGACGATATATTGAATCTCAGCAAATGATTCTTTAGAGGTTGGGACACCCATTTTTTCATCGCTGCTTGAGATGACATGTTCAACCTTGATAGCAAGAGACCCTGGATTAGTGCCTATGAATCCGAAATGGTGACCAAGGCCAAGGTGAAAGACAAGTAGCAGTGAAGGAGTTCCAAGTTGGAACCTTGAGTACAATGAAGACAAATTCATCACCATCGCCGAAGCCAGGGCACCCGCCTCGTCGGGCACGAGGGTCGCTGTCCGCCCTGTTAGCCTAGCACGTAGAAGCTCTGCAGAAAGTGCATGAATAATGTCATCGATGGAGGGACTCGGGGTAGTGACCGCATTACTTTGCCCGCTGAAGGAAGATGTTTGAGTAGTGATACCAGTCTTTGGAGCACCTGTAGTTGGATATTGGCGAGAACCAATGGGTCCTTCAGACTCGGAAATCACAACCCCTTTCACACCATTGACTACTAGTCTTGGCGGAGTGGCAAGTCGAACAGGCGCCCCCAAATGTTGAGGAACCTGCAATTGAAGTTTATTGGGCCTCCCCTGAGAGATAGATATTGGAGGTTGATTGCGAGATGGAGTCTGAAACATTCGGGCCGGATTTCTGTCATGGGCGAGTGAAAGAGGCTGGACATTAGGGTTAGGCGCCTGTGATATTTCCCGATTAGGGTTGGGCGTCTGTAATATTTCCCGATTAGGGTTGACCTGGAACGTAGAAAAAGAACCAGATGATGACCCTCTATTTGGTGGCCTTCCTCGGCCTTTCCCAGCTGAGAATCCGTTGCTGTTCGGCCAAGCAGATGATACTGCAGGCCCGTGTCGTCTCCTAGAACGGCTCTTTTCACTGGTTGACGGAGTGACTGCCGACCGTGGTTCCGCAGACATGAGGACATCTGATGGTAGATGACTACGTGGAACGATGGCGGACTGCGGGTAATTAGTAGGAGAGGTATCCCGTTCTGGGAGTCTCCAGCGTGTATCATGACTTTGCTGATCCGGCCCTGAACCATTTGGAAACATTGAGGTAGCCGCTATCCAGGGGTCATTTTGTTCCATATCATCAGGAAATGCACTGAATGGAATCGCACTTGGTGGGAATGTCACCGAGTGGGAGTGGAAACTACCCTGCTGTAGGGCACCAACAGATGTATCCAACTGGGGCCGCTTGATTGCTTTGTCTTCCTCAGTGTACCTATCCTCGACCCTTTTCCTTCCCCGCTTTGGTTTCCATTGTGGCACAAGCGCCCTGAGTGCGAGGTCTTCTTCCAATAACACACCATCACGGGATTCGCTGACAAACGGACCAGATGGCGGGAGTTGTGTATAGTAAGAATGGGGCAGGCCCATACAATATTCAAAGAAAGCATCAATGTGCATAGCACGCATCCAACGCTAAACGACATTAGCACGACGAGTATGGGTTGAAATTTTGAGGGCAGATGTACCTTGAGCCGGACAGTGTACTGTTGCACCTTCTGGGTGCTTTGTTTCTTTTCAATACAGGGTGGTTCTACACCCAATTCGATTGCTAACTGAATCCATGTCTTCAACTCTTCATTTTGCAACCGCCTTCGAATGAGCCCGAATAGGGTAAAGATGTTGAAGCTCTTTCCGTCACTCCGCGGTAGACACCGAAAGGTCTTTCGCAGATCTGATGTGTCAACCGAGGATGGAACATTTGGATTGCAGTATAAGATAAATGAGACATAGGCATCATCAATCGTCTCGTCAGTGATATCCCGTGATGGAAGAACTCGGGATTCTGCGTGATCGGCGGGGTCTTTTGTCGGCTGATGGCGAAGATGATCCAAAACTGGCGGGGACATGGATGTCCCAGAGTGATTGGCTGATGATGGGGGTATAGCAGAACGCATGCCTCTCGGCGAGGACTGTAAGCTCCTCGGGGTTTCTCTTCGATGTAAGGGAGGCGACTTGTCGATATCTATCTGGCTACGAGCACTTCCCAAAGAGGGGGAGGCACTCTGCAACGTCGATTCCAAGGTTGAAGGATATCGCGCATATTGTTGAATGACCATTTGCGGTCCGCCGAGCTCACCACGGCTCGAGCGATCGGTGGAGTCCATTATAATTGGAAATGATGTTTCCCTCTGAATTCGGAGTGACAGACCTCTAGATTTAAGTGTAGAACAGAGCTAGACATGGGATGCAGGGAAACAATTATGCGGATTGTAGGTCGCATAGGCAGGTCGTCATTGTCGTCAAATCAGGAGCCTCGGCTTGGATGTAGGCTATCTTCAACACAAAATGTTCGGTGTATGAAGACAAAGAAAAATGGAAGAAAATTAGATTCTAAAAAGCAATACGCCGATGGTGTAGGGTTCCAGGAGGTTTCCCCTCGAGGTGGCTGGAAGCGCCCATCTTTAAAGCTCAAGCTGAGAATCTATTTTGGGGCCATCTAGTGCTCCCTAATAAAGACTAGTGTTGTAGCCTGAGGGCGGGGTTCTTGCCTGATTATCACGTGCGAGCTAATCCCAAACAAGATTAGCGTTATGAGGCACATTCTAGACGTTATCGATAAGCTTGTCGTCTTGGCATTCTTGGCCTCTTCCACATCATCCGTCAAAGAAGCCGCACTTTCCCGGACCGTCGCAAGGGTCAAATTGAACAACAACAAGTTGCAGAGTTGTCGCCTGTGCAAACCCAATCGAATCTGCGTTTTGCTCATACTGTTGCGCGCGCGTGGCGTCGTGCAATGTGGCCCGGGTCTCTGCTACCCACTCTCTTATCCTAGCGCGACCTTATCCGTCATGGCGCCCTCGAGGTCCACTCGCCCTATGCGGGCCAGTCGCACGAAGGTGCATACATACCATGAGGAAAGCTCCTCTCAAGACGAATCAAGAAGCTTGACTGTCTCTAGACGTGCCTCGTTATCTCTTCGGTCGCGCAGTACAACTCGAATGCCAAAATCCTATCGTGAAGATTCAACTGATGCTAGCTTTGATGAAGCCGTGGAAGACGACGAGGCCGATGCTCTGGTAGATGTGTCGATCGACGCATCAAACCTGGATCTCGAATCTATGCCCACCCGCTCTTCCAAACCCAAACGTCCTCGGCGCGCTGCAACCACCCCGAAGCCAAGGCAGACTAAACGATCGAAACCTAGCAGTCAAGTTGGAGGAGTCTTGCACAAACGTGCCAAGACAGATGAGGATGACCCGATTTTCTTATGCTCCGGTGTTATTCCTCCTTGGCAAACTCTCCCCTACCAAATTCTGCTTGACATATTCTTGCGCGCGTCGCATCCATTACTCGACGAAAGCCGTTCAGCCCGCAATGACTCTGTAAAATGGCTAGTCCATATCGCTCTTCTGTGTCGAAGCTTTCATGAGCCTGCGCTTGCCGCACTATATCATTGTCCTCCTCTTCTTCCTGCCTACAAGAGCCATGTGCTCCTCTCTCTGTTGGCACGCCCGCAAGAGTCTCTCTCGATGAATTACTCCAGCAAGATCAAGCAACTCCATGTTGAGGTTGAACCAGTGCTCATTTATAAAAGTGGACCCTACGGCTACTTCGACATTTCCCAGTTGATTGCGAAGACACCTCGTTTACACACGGTGCGGTTGTATCACAAAGATGATTACACGGTGGGAATACCTCCCTGGCACATTGTTCAATCTAAGTGGACGTATCCAGACTCTCTCTTTTCCGCCATTGAGAACCGTGGCGTTACCCTTCGTAGCTGGGATTGGAACAGCCGCTTTTTAGAAACAGATGAGCTTATCGAAATGATGGTCAACATGCACTCGGAACGCGCTTTTCAGGGGCTCAAAGAGCTAAAGTTGCTCCACTTCGATAATTCCAACGACGAAACTTCCGCTGTCAAAGAGGCTGGCCTCCTTGAATCTCTTGATATGCTTCCAGACCTTCAGCGACTGGATTTCATTGAAAGCTCACTGGTCAGCGGGGAAATACTGACTAATCTACCAAGTACTCTCCATTCGCTTACTCTGAACAACTGCGATCGTTTGTGGTCATCAGACCTCACGGTCTACCTGTCCTTGCATGGGACCAATCTCCGAGAGCTCAGCCTAAGCCATAATCGCCATCTCAGCATGTCTTTCATTCAGAATCTAGCCCAATGCTGTGAGAATCTCGAAGTTTTCAAGATGGACCTTTCTATGCATGATGCATCCAGTTACCACGATGTCGAACCCCACTTTGAAGATCTACTTGTCCAATCTGAAGTCCCCACCTGGCCAGTGAAGCTCCGGGAAATCGAGCTCACCCAGTTACGCAAATGGGATGACGCTACTGCGGAGGTGTTTTTCACTTCGCTGGTGAATGTAGCACCCAAACTTCGTGATTTACGTCGATTGGTCATTAGCGCAATTTTGAAGGTTGGCTGGCGTGACCGTGCTACTTTTCGTGAACGATGGATCGGCCTACTTGAAAAGGTATTTCTGCGACGAAGCAAGCCACCCGACCACAACCTCCGCTCTTTACAAAAGCGCTCGCTCAAACCTACCACACTCATCACAAGGAATGACCCTGATGAACTCGATGTTGGAATTGAAAATTCACGAAAATCCACGGCTGATAGTGGACCATCGACTTTCTCCAAACGTCAAAGCACTCGGCTGGCGCATCAAAAAAGCATTGAAACTGACGATGCTGCCAGTGGTTCTTCGTTAGTGGGGACTCCGCATCTTGAAGCGGTGAAGATGCAGGGAATGTGCGATGTTGTGAATATTCGGATCGACAACCAGCGACCAACTGAATTGCAATTCAACGAAAACGATTTTCTTGACGACGAACTCAGTGGCGACGAGGACTGGGCTGGCGATGACTTCTAGCCAACCCTGGGACGCTCGGAGTAATCAGCCATGGCGAAATCCCAACGGCAGTAACTTTTTGTATTTATAACCATACAGTTTATCAGCTTTCTGCCATGCGCCTGAACGGATGTGTTTTTTTCTTTCCAATACCGATCTGTTTTTGGGATTAGGCGCTGGGGTTCTTTTTTTAATTCGGGCGGACAAACAGGGGCTACCTACTATTCGATAGTTTCTTACAGCTAATACCTAGTGATGGATAAGAATTATGATCTTGTAAAGGATGATGAGTTTCTCCAATCCGTATTCCATGATTTTATCGCTTGATATGTACATCATGTACATGCGTAGCAGTTGCAGTGTTGACTCGGGGTCCGTGCATAATGTCAAGCCCCACAAGATCGTCTTGTCGGCGAGTCTCGTTGAACCTCACGTCTGTTGATTCGACACCTTTGTTCCTTGTATATTTGCATTTCATCCGCTCAGGTCCATAATTTGGATGTCTTATATCTTTTATTCTTGAACTTCTGACGTCGGCTCAATCCTGTTAGGTCCGAGATGGCGCCTGAGGCCCCTGCGGACACTGCAGGGCCATCCTCCCCACCACCTCAACTCCCAGAAGGCTGGTGAGTCAATTCGGAAAATTAAAGTACCTGCCCGCCGTTTTCTAACAGCAATATCCGATAGGCTCCCTCAATGGGAAGGTGTCGGACGGAAATGGTATTATGTACAGCGCACTACCGGAAAATCGCAATGGGAGATTCCGACCGAACCAATCGTCCTGACCCCGTCAACAACACCGACGCCAATGGGGGCAGGGCTATCGCAGGAGCCAACATCACATCCAACAAGCGGCAGTGCTCGAGAAGTGGAGTCCGTGGACACAACGGCAGGCGGGACGTACTCCGCGGCGGACAGTGCGAGAATTTCCGTAGGGAATCGCGCTCATTATGTCTGCGTAAGCATTACAAGAATGGCACTGATGGTGGGATAGAGCACCCTTGACTCCCGTACATATGGGCAGTCTGAAAATCCAACATATGGGTCTTCCGGTGTACCGGGTTGGTATTCGAATCAGACGGGCCAACACTTGCCCAGTGGATATGAGCGGCAGCTGGCTGCAGATGCAGCTGGATATGGCCCGGTATGTCCAAAAATTTGCGTCTCATGGATTTTGATCGGTTGTGATGCTTATTTTTCTTTGGAATTCAATGCAGCATGGCGTTGTCGGACAGGTGAATGCTGTTCAATCGGCATTTTATGGGAGCCAGACACACCCAGGTTATCAAATCACGGGTCCACACCACATGGGGCAAAGTATATCTCCATCAGCGTGGGGCAACAATCCGAGTGCTTACCAGGGACACCCAAGCGGTTATCACATGACGCAACATGCACAGTCCTTCCAAGGATTTGTTGCTAATCCTGCCGGATTGCATGGCCACCAACCACCAGGACTGTGGTCAATGACCTACAATCCACAGGAGCAAATGGCAAGGTCAACGGATGGAGCTTCCGATTCTCAGCCACTATGGCAATTGGAAACACAGCAAGGCCATTTGAATGCCTCTGGTGAGGGTGTCCCGATGAACTTACGCTCAACAAACCTGCCTAAGCCCGTAATTGGGTCTTACTCATCCAATACGAATGCGGATCCGTCTTCGGGAGAATTCTCTCGCCATGCCTCGAACGCTTCACTTGTCCGAGAAGGGCAGCCTTACCAAACTTCTGTCGAGAGTTTCTCCAACCATTCAACGCACTCCATGGTTGACCAAGGTAGATTTGGACAAGGCCAACCGAACCCACGGTCCCATTTCCAGCACACTGCCATGGACCCTGCTTTACAGGGATTCTCACCACTGCAACATGTTCAGAGACAATATCAACAGCAGCACATGATACGAAAACAGTTAGGATCACACCAAGCCAACCTCGCCCACGGCCATCAGCAATATAACAACCCAATGGCGCAATTGAGTTTTAACCAATACGGTCCGCAGCATCAGTTTGGTCAAAGCGGCGGGCCCACGGCTTTTCCCCAAACAGCTCAGGTGCAAGTTCCTTACCACCAATCGATTCATTATCCCGAGCATGTGAAACAATCATCGGGGCAGACAGGAAGAGGTTCGGAGTCACAATTTGTAAATGGGACGTGGACGTCGACACCGCCTGCTGCTGGACAGTTGTAGGCACCAAGGTGCTGTTCGAGTTCACTGTGATGGTCAAAGTGAACACGGAACATGATTTTGTTTGAGCGGCTTCTACGGATAAGTTTGCATTCTGCTCAGTTTCTATTTCAGTATAGATTCCCGGATTGAAGTAAATCGTTAATTCCATTGAGTTTTGTGCCAAAGAACATTCATTCCAACTGCCACAATTCCTATGCTCGAACGCAGGACAAGATTAAGTGTTGGTGATTCTTGATTGCGGAAGTAGAACGGCGCGCATCGGGATATCATGTCTTCCACCCACCGGGACGTCAAGGCACAAATGCAGTAGCATGAGATGAATTTCGTGTTATCGTTCCAGTCGATTTCACAAGACTATTAGCGTCCACGTGGAACAAATCAAACATACGAGATGGAGATGTTTTCTAATTTTCTGTCCACTTCCTCTCTTCCTCCTTCTTTTAATAACATCACTACAGATTCCGGGCCTTCCAAACATCACCCTTCAGCCCCATGGACGTTGCTTTATCATCATGGCTAGCACCTGGGATCACGAGAGAGACAACCAGGTAAGTATTCTCATCTTACGGGGATAGTAGCGATAGCCCCTCTAACCCTAATTGGTCCTTTGTTGCTTGAACTGGCAATGCATTGGCATCACTGGCTATTGACTGACAGTTGCTTGTGGCCATCTTGGCCGTTCATGCACCGCTGGACTTTGCCGCGATTGCTCAAGCGATGGGACAGGGTGAGTAAATGAGGGCTGTGCACCTAATCTATCACGTCCAAAATCCCTAATTCGCACCTTCTCTACCCCATGAGCCTCGTTATCTCGCATAGTGATCACGTGAACTCATCTGAAGAGGTATAGGTGATAGCACTGCTGCCGTGAGACAGCATGTCTACACCCTGAAAGTCCGCCATGAGGGAAGCTCAGGCAAATCTCCTACGAAGGACAAGGCTAACAAGCCCACTGGTCATGGCCGCAAAGCTACCAAATCTTCCATCAAACGCAAGAGTGCCCCGCTCACCAAGTCCGAATCGAATTCGGTTATCGAGGGCCAGGATGGGGATGGCGATGACTTCATCCCCAGTCCTACTAAGCAACGCAAGATCTAAGGACCTCCGCTTCTTGAATCTGGTATTTGCTGTGAGAAAGTGACTTTCTTTCAAACATCTATGGAGAGACTGCCGAGGCGGAGCGAGGAATGGAACTGTTTGGCCTTTCAGTCTCGGTCTCTTGGGTACCCTTGTTATCCCATGATTCTTTTAATTTGAATAACAGCAGATTCTTTATGAATATCCATCTCCACGAAGATTGCAGATTTTCTTCATCATAGTACCTCTATTGACCACTACCCATTGTGGGAGGGATCAAGTCTCTTTACACGGAAAACACAAGAAGGCCTACGGGGTGCAGTGAGACGTGTTGATTTTGGGCATGGTTTTGCGGGTGTGGGTTGAACGGGTTATGGGAATGGGCTGATTCTGCACTCCTCACTTCGGCATCATCTGTATACTCTGGGAGCGATCCCGCTCGGCGTTGGGTCTCGAGTTCTTGCTTCGGTTGGAGAAGCGCCTGCATAGTCATACGCAACTAGTTAGACTGCAACAGGTTAATTGAACTTTGATTGATTGATTGATTGATATAAATATGAGCAAGTACTGGTAATCTGGCTGTAGGCCCTTCTGATCATCTGGTAAGTATATAAATCCCGTATTCAGACCGGACATAGATGAGCTTGGGTTCGACCTTGACAATGGCTTTTTGTTTTGTGCCTTTTCCTAGGCTTGAGGGAATGCAGCCTAATACTAGGCCACACTAAAAACTGTCTAATTAAGTGGGCTAAATCAGCTCTGTTTGACCAGAAATTCCATTATAGACGACTCAAGTTAAAAGAACTAAACACCATATCTGTTGAGTTGTTTGCGCTCAATGGTGACAGTTGAATGTTCAGAGACTGTCCGAGCCCTTCTTTCTATCTCTCCACCTCGTCTTCAATTTCTTCTCTACCGTTCAACAAGCAACATTCAACTCATTTTCACCGCGTCTATACGTGCACATTCTACGAAAGTGCGTTGGCTACTTGACCTCCTATTTACTTCTACCGGAGCCCGCGCGGGATCCAATCTGCTCTCAGTCCGCTCGTCATATTTGCTTTCGGAAATTGCTAATTCGACCTTCCTCTGCCTAGATAGCCCGTTTGATGACCAAGGCAACAATGAAGGTCACCTGGAATGAGAAGGCTGATGCCAAGGTACGTTTGAACTTCCGTCTGTTGGTTGGCCGTCATTGGTCATTGGATTCCTATTCCTGAAAACTATGTGCGGAGTCACTTACTGCCCTGCATTTGATGGCCTTGAGACATCGATAAGTTTGAATATCAATGAGTTTGGCCCAGAGGTGACAAAACTGGCCCAGACATCTACCCAATGTTTTTCGATATGCCTTCCACTCCTAAGATTAGCCTAGGTGTCTTATTGTCTTTACTTATATCTGGAACTAACCTTCATTTCTATTAGTTGCTGGCTGGCATTCTAGCTACCAGCCCAACCCCCATCGATTTCCACGCTCTTGCGGAGTACATGGGTGATGGCAAGTGTCAATGCGAAGAGCCCTCACGTCCTACATTGCAGTCCTAAATGCCGAACCTCAGATTGTAGCGCCTCCCCTTCATGCTGGTCCGCTTACTTGTGCGCATCGCCCACCTACAAATATGTCACTGATCCACACATCCTGTGCTTCGCTTCCTGTGCCCTGCGCGTAAAAGATACGCCATGATTGTATTTTGCATGATCCAGTCGTCGCCCCTTCGTTCTCCGACGTGTCCAAATTAACCTTCAAGCCCTCATCAATTTCTCATACCCCTTTTCCCGGCTGGTGATATAGTTATACTAAACTAATCCTATAGGAGTCACTGCCTGTGCCGTCCGCCACCGGGTTACTCGCCTTCGAGCCAAGGCCGAAGGGAATGATGGCAGCGGTACCTCTGCCTCTGCTTCGCCTGTGGCCAAAAAGCGCCAGCGCTCCACCCCCAAGAAGTCCACAAAGGCTACGTCCGCTCAGTCTGAGGACATTGATGCTGAATCCGGTGAAGGCCTTGTTCTCAAGGACGAGGAAACTGATGATGAGGACGTGAAGGGCAAGAAGCCAAAAATCAAGCAAGAGGACCACGAGTGAGTTTCAGTTAACTGTGAGCATGCTGACCAAAACTCAGTGGGCTAATTTGGTTTGATCCAGTTTGTCCCTCCTTGACTCCGATTTCCGCAAGGAGGAAGAAGGTCTCTCCGACCTCTAAGTGCCCTCACCACGCTCTTCTTTTTTCAAACGGAATCATCCCATGTCGACATAGTGAGGTGTTAGCATGCTGGTGGTATCTGGGGTTTATATGGGGAAGTTTTTCGGAATCTCACAACTGGGAGGAATATTGAGAAACGCAATGGAACAACCTACAAAGGGATCTGATCAGATGGATCTATGACTAATGGCAATGAGCTCGACTAATCGGGTCTCTTTTGCTTGAAATAAAAGACCCTACTTGATCCCACCAAGTCTCTTTTACATTCATGCAGCAAGAAAAAATTAAGAGTAGTCGACAAGACGTCGATAGTCGATTCAACTAAGTACTTCGGCGCAATCCAGACAAATGGGCACCGGTGATTTCTTTTTGGATTTTTTCCTTTTTTTCCCCATGACCTCACGGTAAAATCAAATGCAACTGCCCTCGACAATTTGCTTTTTTTCCTTTAGCTTTTTCTCTGAACGACTGGGTCACTCACTCTATGTTGGGCAACAACAAGCCACCCAACAGTGAGGCCCTTCAAGAAGTAAAACGCGAAGTCGAATATTGATCATGGAGATTAGAGGCACTGAAATCTCAGGCGACTGAAATGAATCCTCTTTGCGAATGATCGCTGGACTACTTGGACAGCTCGTCGGAGTCTAATTCGGCGTCTGCATTGTACTCGGACCATTCGGGATCGTTCTTTCCATTTTCAACAACCGGAGATTCTTCCTCGTTCTGCGGATGAAGAAGGGGGTCGATCTCTTCGAGGCCGGTTTCCATCTTGATAGCGGACTCAGCCTCAGCTAGAAGCTCTTTGTCGTCGGCAGGCAGGTTATTCTCTTCGTTGACATTAACCATGTCTTCATCGGCCGCAGCGTCCTTGGTGGTACGCTTGCGCTTGCGGGGAGTGGGAGTCTCATTTGCCTTTTTGCGGGGAGTGCGCTTCTTAGGGGTCACTGGGCTCGAAGGCAAGGCAGAGGCGGGATTACCCTGGCGGACATTCTCCTTGATTCTAGTGAGACGCTCCTTAATAGCACGAGGGGTAGGTTTATGATCGTCTTCTTGGACGGCTGGCGGATTGTTAGAGTGAGCAACTCAGGCGATGTAAAGAGCGGTTGCGGCTGCAGAATGGGGAACTTACGCCAGGCCTCGGCGACCCGGGCTGCATCGACACTCAGGTCATGGGTCTCAAGAATTTTTGCGAGAAGCTATGCCGAATGGGAATTGTCAGTCATGGTCTTTGTCAGATTTGAGCACGGTGCAAAGCGTAGGTCGAGAGACGGAGGTTCCAGCACAATGGGAATAGAAAACAAAATTAGGAATGCAAAGAAAAACAAATTCCGCGACTTTGATTATCATGGCGACCTCCAAGCAGCTTTAGATGACAAGATCAAAACTTGATCTGAGAGGCATATGACCTGGTCGTGCAAGAAATTTTGAAGCTCCCGAGGGTAAGTCTGTCCGGACCAACATCGTTCAAAAGCCACGAAGTGAGATGATCAGCCTAAGCTGATTACTTGGGCCCGGAAAATGGAATGAAAATGTAAAGTAATAGCAAGGTGAAAAAGAAACTCACAGTTTGGTCGGCGTTGGAATCCCATTTCACCTTACCCATCTTGGCAGCGAGAGTGTTGTGTAGCGGTAGATATCAATGTGACAGGATGAACGAAAACTTGATGGATTTGAACGCGACTCGAGAACGCTATCAGAATACAAAGAAACGTGAGAAGTTGTAAAGGGGAAGAAAAGAAGAGGAAGAGGAAGATCCAGGCATTCAATTTAAAGAAATCAGATTGATGCGATTAGTCGTCGAGATTATTTACACTGAGTCGTTCATACAAACAACACAAATAACCATAATTCAACGCTAAACTGCGTGGCTTACTTTTTAGAAAGTGACTTGTAATTAGACGTGCACGTAAACTACCCAGGTAGACAGCAAGCCCTGGTTGTTCGTTCATGATAGCCTAGGGATGTGTCCTTAATGTACATGACTACACAGCCATATTAGCAAGCTCTAGAGGCATGATACCTGAAGCTTTACCGGAAAATTAAAGTAACTATTAAAGGTAAGATGGTCGAAGAAAGATATACGAAAGAAACTAGGGCTAGACTAGCCAATCAGCACGCCGCCGAAGATCTCCGCCGAAGATCTCCGCCGTTGGAAAATGCTGTCATTGGATTGCTGGAAAGTTGCTATCTTTTTTTTTCCTTGCTCTATCTCTGGCTTATGAATCTTCATTCAAACGTCTAAGCTAACATCCCTCAACTGCCACATCCTAACAGCGGTATAGTAGGTGGGAGTAACACGTATGTGAGATGGCGAATTGGTGGCTCCAATTTGACGAGAATAGGCTCTTTTATATGTTGCCATATCTCTCAGGTTGGGTCGAAGGTCGCTAGAGGTGAGAAAAGCATAAAAGGTAAAGGAAAATTCGGTGGATGTCTCTGAAATGTCTCTGAATGAAACCGGAGGCGTTGTTTCATTTTCTGCAACATAATAGCTGCTTTCTATGCAAGTATTGTATCTACGTGCGTGTTCAATAACGCACTTAGGACAGATTCGGGGAGATGGATAGCAGTGAAATGTCTGATTTTGAAGACTCTACCCTTCGGATTTTCTATGCTCTATTTGACTTGTCTTTGTCGAAAGAGACATATGATGGATGATGGTATGTCTCATTTGGAGAAGTCATCTTGCAACATGCCTCCTCTTGATCTGAGTTGGGGCCAGCGGTAAGTCATCTTGCTCAGAAAAGTGTGCCGGCACCAGAAGACCTCCTCGCTTAGATCTTGCCGAATCACGAGCGTGGTTCTCAGGCTCATCTTTCTCCGTCAACTTGCGGGCACGGTTGGATTCAGCGGGGATTGTTTTACCCGGGTGGCTGGCTTGCAAATATTCTCGAGCTGGGGAGGCGACAGGCAAAGGATTGAGGCTAGACACGACTTTCCCATCGGAGAAAGAGGCCAGCTGGTGATGCAGTCGGTTTGAGATGGTTTTCGTGGGTCTCGTTGGTGAAGGAGATCGGTGACGATATCTAGGCTGTGATACCCGCAGGGGCGGGCTAGATCGGGGGCTGGGTTGAGAAATGCGAGGAGGCTTGAGATTCCTACTGGTGTCTTGGCTTGGGTCTGGATCACCTGAAACCCAACTGCGTTGTGACCAGTCGCCGACATCGGCGCTTCTGTCGAGTTGAGACAACTCCGGCTTATTCAAATCCTGCGGAAATGGGGAAGGTATTTTTTGTGGCGCTTTCGATAGTTTGCTGTCGCATGTGCCCTCCTGGCGTGAAGATTGACAAGCAACATCTTGTTGACTAGGTTCAGGCACGGAATCCTCAGCCCCGAGCTCGCTAGCACGAAAAGAATACCGTCGACGGTCGATTCCTACAGACTTCTGGCGCCACCCTGCAGCCCGCCGTTTCACAGACAGCCAAGAATACTCGCGACCGGTCTGCTCGCAGAACAGCGACGCAAGATTGACCCAGAAGCCTTTCGCTGGAAGCTCGCCATTTGACACGGATGGCAATTCTTGTTCATACAGTTTCTTCAAAGTGCCCTCTTGTGCGAGGGTGAGTTTCTTGCCACGGCCTGTGCTAGGACGGCGATCGATAACTATATCGCTAAGCTTGGTCCCACGGGCTGATGCGAGATCTATTGGGGCCATTGCTGGAGCCGATGCCGGGTTGGGGGGTCTTAATTTTGATTGACGCTCATCTGGCCTTGCATGGCATGGGGACGCCACGCTACCAGTAAGTCGGATCACTTGGTTTGAGTTTGAATGGATAGCCCACAGTTAGACCCACAGATCAAGGAGATCAAAAATGTCAGTGGGTACGGAGTAGGTTCTAGCCGAAAAGAGCGGGGATGACACTTGAAGTGGGTCAGAGAGATCTGAGGCGCGTCGCGTTGCCCGCGTTTTCAGCGCTAACACGTGATTCGCCATTTTATACCCAGAGCGGTTGATGGTTTGGTCCTTCATTCATTTTGTTCTCGCTTGTTGAAATACCTCAATCAAGTCTGCTCGACAGTTTTCCAAGTTCACAAGTCATCGTTAACCTTGGACACAATCCTTCTTGTCTGCGATCCATGAGTCAACATGGCCAGCGAGAACTAGGGATAGACAAAACATACAAGAAATCGTTCATTTGAAACTCTGAATGGCGATTGAAATACGTACCTCCCCATACCACACGAACTTAGGGCAGAACAGTTGCAACAGGGCAACCGTGCATGAAAGACAGAGAACATAAACCACAAGGTCGCAACCCTAAATCAACTACAGTGGGAACCATCTTTGTCGATTGTTTCGAGTGGTATGTTACTTGTAGGTCCTCAAATGACGTATCTTTAACGATTGACCACCTGCAGCAGGGAATAGATCTTTATTGTCGGCAGGTCTATCGAAGGCAACATTTGACATATCTACTCATGAAGACTGTTGCAGCAGACCAAGTTTAACCGAATGGCCTAATGACAGAGCTGAATCCATTTTGCGATAGTATCCTCCATGTCATGTGCAATGCCCCACTGTGAAGACAAGCACCGGAAAAGGTTTTGCAGGGAGTTGAGCTCATAAAGCAAATTCCTGACAGTGCCACCAATAGGAAATGCAAGCGAGGAAGTCGCATTTCAACTCTCGACAAAGCGCTTTGTTTCCGAGCCAGATAAAGGCCGGATAGCCTTGTGGCCCAGGTTGAGATCGGAATGGGACAACAAAACGTCCTGCCAAACTACATTGCGAGGCAAATTCACAGTGGCGACTCCTGCAAGTGAAAGGACGATGTAGATCGTCGCCGCTGCGAACAGTGAGCTTGGCATGTTCACAACGTGTGCATGGCCACGTGGTAGTTGCTCTACAATTTCCTGGGTGGCGACCGCGTGGAGAACGGCCCGCCGCGCGTCTTCTGAATTGGCCCATTTGACCAGGTCAGAGCCTGGGCTGACAGTTCCGCATCCACCGGAGACATGTTGGATAATGTTGTAGCGTGAGCAGACGTGGCAGGATAGAACGGTCGAGTTGATCATTGTATCTAGGCAGACTTTGTGCTAACGCATGAGGATTTCGAGTCTCTCTGCTGCGTTGAACTGGATGCTCATCGATACTGTCTCGTGGATTTGGGCTAGAGCTCGCCGGACTTCTGATTGGCTAGGAACTCCCACTGCTAGTTCATGATCATCAAAGTCGGAGACCAAAGACTGGAGCCCTTCTAGAACCACACACAATGCGAAGGCAGAGAACTGGTACTGCAGAGGGCGGAAGCTCCCAACCGGTGGAAAGAGGGAGCGGAATATCGTCCTGAATGAGGACTGATCGGGCTTCCGGTGAAGCATATACGCCAACCATTCATCGGCATTGCTGGCATCAAAGGCTTCCTCGCTACTCGGAAGAGTGAGTGGGTTTGCAAAATGGCGCGAAGAGGCACCGTCGCTTGACATCTGAGCAACGAGCCCATCCAGGACATAGTAGGCTAACAGGGTGCGTTGCTGGATCTCCCGCGCCGACCAGATTCGCCACTGACGTTCTTTTTCTGCAGCAGGGGCATCGATCGAGGGGAGATTGTCCCTTGAGTATGGCTCGCTATCATACATCCCGCAGTGTCTTGCCCATAAGAACCCCAGCGGATGGAAGACCTGGCTGGTGGTTCGAATTGCTCGGTTCTTGGATAGGGCCCCATAGATCTGACCAAGCAGGGCGGTGATCATCAACTGGACGCCCTTGCATGCATCATAGGGGCCGTTCTGTGTGATCAGTGACTGCCATAAAGTTGAAAGTGCGGCATGCGCTAAGCGCCATAAGGCTTCGCCTTTTCCAACCGAGTCCTTAGGGCCTAGATACAACGAGCCGATGGCGATGGCATTGAGGAGGAGAGCATGCGTGCATTCTCGGAAAACAAAAGTTGCACGATGCAGGATTTGGAATGTGGGAATAAAGCGGATAAAGAACATATGGAGGCATTCGTCGAGGAATACTGAGGTGATGGCTGTAGCTTTGACAGCGGCGGTGACACTGGATGACTAGGAAAATGACGTGTTGGAGTCGATCAAATTTTAGTTTCACATGAGCATCTTCAAGGTGATTTCGCACGGGGTTTCCAAGGTCTTTGAAAAATACAATGCTGAACTTACCGTGCTCGTTACCATCTCTGTGACATCTCGCACTGCCTGATGCCCTTCACCGGACGGTATTGCACCGACTGGAGATCTACGATCATCGAATAAATATGGAGACTCGAAGTTCATACCATTAAAATCCTGCACTACAGGCGGAACGGACATTGTACCAAGCGGCATATGCCATTGATCTGTTGTGTCCGAGGACATCAAGGTCTGAAACAAGTTTTCTGAATCAGGCCAAACCAAGGCAAAATCCAACTCCGAGGCGACAGTATGCACACTCGCATGATTTACCGGATTTTTTTCCTCCCAGCAGTGACTTGTTGCTGAAGTCGACACCGGATCAGCGGTGGAAGCACTACTCGTGTCCCACGAAGGGAGAGAATCGAACGAGGTAGGCTGTGGCGGCAAGTTCACCTCCAGCGAGTCCTTCTTCGAGTTTATAGCACGAGAATGCTGCTTTTTATGGCGGGTAAGAGCATCTTGTCGGGCAAAGGGCCTTTGACACTCCTTGCAAACATATGGCTTAGATCCCGTATCTAAGTCTTCCGGTCAGCTGGGTGGGTATTTCTTGTGACCTTTGTTCAGGGGGATAAAAAAGATCATGAGTCTGCTACAATTAGAACATACGGCAACGCTCATGTCTCTAGAGGGACACGTTAGTCATCTCGTCTCACTTAGCAGTCCTTCTTTCGTGGGGAAGCTGGATTTGAAGTCCACTTTGGAAGTCTACTCACTCTCAAGTGTTCAGCCTTGGAGAATACTTTTTGGCAAAGTCTGTTCTCGAAGCCGCTGTGCAACCGATTTGGGCGCCGTCCTATTTTCTTCATCTCTCTCATCTGCAGCCTTGTGTGTAATATCCGATGTGCTAAGAGCACCACATATGCCTCTCTAGCTGCTTGTCGAGCCCGCGTGGCCATTTTCATATCGCCTGCCTCCGCTATTGGCAGTATAGTCGTGATGGAAACAACCTTTACAAAAGATCGCACCCGGTATATGGGTCTTCTAGATAAAGCATCTAGAATAATTCTATTTAAAAACCCAGCACCGAAAGATTCGCACGTCCCGGTTGAGCCTTTCATCTTCTGTTTCGTCACCTACCGTGTTTGTTCTCACTCGATCTTCCGGATTCTCGCAATGTTAAGTTTCCTTCCCACCATTTTCTTGCACTGGCGCGGTAACATTTGTCGTAGCGAGGAATGGAGTCATTAGAATGGAAAAGGACTTCCGTTTTGGTACTTCTCGCTCAATTTTACAATGGAAGTTGTTTAGGTTTGAGTTTCCAGAGCATAGTTGGCTACGATAGAGTGATCGGATTCGCGTTCGCGGTGGTTCAATGTAGATTCGGCATTGGCATCCAACCCGGCAACGTGGCCCCAGAGTGTGTGTAGCTTGACCTTTAAATTGTTAGTATACAACAATATCATCAATACGATCGATTGGCTTTTATTCAAGAAGCCGCGTCGCTGTCGGAGTATGTGCAGAGGCATAACATCTCAATAGGGCCGAGAACAATGTTCATGCAAAGGGAAGAAAGTACAAAAAGGAGAGAAATTCGAATCAAATAATGGAAATACAGCCACAGGCTGGCTTTGGAGCAAACCACTCTGAATGGGAACAGCTCGGGACACCAACCCGGTATACCCCCCCCGCTGAAATCATGCCATCCCGGGTCAACGAGGCCCATTGGCAATGGCAGACCACTGCCGGGTATGATTTTCGGCTTTCAATTCTGGCTTTATGGTTTCAACCGACTACTACATAAAGAAAATGCGGAAGTTGGAAGCCATTACTATACAACTCTACTACAGGGTGTGAACCACGCAATGAACCAGCACAACAACATTTGATCAGTAAAATATGTCTCTGCTAACCCTATAGGAATGAAACCTTCGTTCTATATTACTCGTTAACACACGTTTGTTTATAAGAACATTAGCCCTTGCGGAAAAATTAAGTTGTCCAGTAAATGGTTTACAAGGCAATGTGGCCGGGGAGATTTACTCCGCACCGGGAAGAGTTCAAGTCCGGCTGCGCTCTGTGATTGGCCAAAGCCTCTCAACACAGATTATCCCTTCATGCTGTACTAGCGCTTTCGAGGATTCCCCTTGCCATATGACGTGGAGCCAGTATTGGAGGGTATCTAGTCCAACAGCTTTAGTAGTCAAAAGCGATCGTTTTGATTGTGGCTTGTATCCAAGGATGAAAGAGATTGTAGAACACTTGAAATGGTATGAAAAAATACTCTGAATTTCTTCTAAATAATGACAAGGTCCGCGCCTTTTAAGCAATCTGTGCGGACAATGCTGACTAAACATCACATATAGTTTATCTGTCTCGGCATGACGCCATTGAGGCATTTGTTCATGTCTCAGGGTGGCACCACACATCTCGACAAAGGAGACAAAGAGACTTGGGAGTATATGAGTGTGCAGATGACCACTTCATGCATTTTTTGCAATACAACAGCGCGCAGAGCGCATGGCGCCGGTCGGAGCAATTCCAAGTGCCATACTTGGTGTGGTCTGCCTCGCAATTTTAGCCTGTTTCATTGCTCATGTGTATAGCTACGATGCCAGTAGGAGGGAAATATCTAAAGAACTGCCAAAAAGAAAACGTCACAAGGCTCCACAAGCGGCCAAAAATTCTTTATATATAAATGGAAAGCTACTGCCTCAATAGGTCACACCAATCATTTGGTGTGCTGGATATTTTCACTGATGCTCGATCTTGTTGATAAGTGTTCCAACGTGGGGCAGCAGCTCAACGGCGAACTCATCGCCAGTCTTGATGAATTCCTTCGGGTTCCTAGCTGCGCCGACACCGGGCGGAGTGCCAGTCAAAATGATGGTACCGGCAGGAAGGGTGGTCCCTTGGGAGAGGAAGCTGACCAGCTGGGGGACGTTGAAGACAAGGTCGCTGCCGTGAAATTTTATGTTAGCTGGTGTTTATGTGAAAACTAGAAGTAATGCGAAACAAATTTAACATACGTCAACGGGCAGTTTTGCATCACGTTGCCATTCTTAAGACCACGGATTTGGAGTTTGCTGGCATCGGGGACAAGGGCAGCGGAAGCCAGGACGGGGCCTGTAGATGTCGAGTTAGTGCGAGATTCACCTAAAGAGTCAACAGCCTTAATTGACATACCAATCGGGCATGCACCATCAAAACCCTTTGAAAAGGACCACTGGCTTTGATTGGTCTGGGAAGTGCGGCTGGAAACGTCGTTCGCAGCTGTGTAGCCAAGGACGTAGTCGAGGGCCTCAGACTCGGACACATCCTTAGCATCGCGGCCAATGATAATAACCATCTCAGACTCGTAATCGCCAGTGTTATCCTGCTGTGTAATCTTGGGCAGAACTGTTGGCGCAGGCCAAGGATCAGCCAGAGAGCTGGCCGGCTTCATGAACAATGTCGGGACTTCTGGGATCGGGAGAGCCATTTCCTTGGCGTGGGAGGCATACTGTAATTCGCATCAGCAACTTCATTTCCCTTGAATTTTCACACCAACTTTTAGAAATCTCACGTTCAAGCCAATACAGCGAATAGTTCCAACCTCGCTTTGCGCTAAAGGGGACAAGATGCGCGCGATGGTCTCTGTTGCGTCGGTCACTTGGCCAGGGCTCAGGACGGACGTGCCGGAGAACGGGCGCACTGCAACCTCCTTGCCCTGGTAAAGAGCCAACCCAACATCCAAGTTGGGGTCGACGGGCTCTCCGATCAGAACTTTGGCGGGGTTTGACTTGGGGACAAAGCGCACCAGGCCTATACTCCGTCAGTCTGGAATCCGGTATCTTTTGAATAGTTCTTACGCGAGAAGGTAGATGCAATTTTTGACATGTTTGATTTAACCGGACAGTGAAGAGAGGAAGCAAGAAGCTTGTAACAGAAACCTCAAATGACACGGGGCTATCGAGAGCGATAGCGGAGTATGTCTGTCCCGGCGCTATATAAGCCGGAGGGGTAGTATCCCACAATGTGGGGAAGAGGCGAGCACGGTCGATTTCAACGTAGGGAATAAAAAAAGAAACAAAACCCCCACGACTGTCGCATTCTCTTATTATCATTCCCATCTCGCCGACATGTCTGCTCCCAAAGGTCCGTTCCACCTGGTTAGTGTCAACACCGTGCCCGAGCGCGCCAAGCGCGTCATCGGCCGTCTCATCGAGGCTTTGAGCGATCGGTACACTATCATCCACGTCGACAACTGCGAGAGTAAGCACATTGAGAGAGATATTGAGAACAAATTTTTCTAACGACCTGCGCACAGAAATCAACGAGGTTGAGGCTAAGGTTAAGCAGCACAACCCTGAAGTTCTTGTAAGTCCGACTCCGGGGTTACCAGTTCCAAAAGCTTGAGTTCCAAATTAACGTCCTAAATAGTTCAGCGCCTCTATGTGGTCCCCCGAGGAGGCCCAACAGATTCATCAGATTGCCCGTTCTGTTCGACCCGATATAAAGCTTCACGCCATTCCCCAGGGCTTGCAGGTCGAGCGTGGTCCCGATGGCGTTGTTGAATACCTGCTTGAGAAGGTGCCGGTGCTGCTTGACAGCTAGACACTACAAATATGATCATGTATATATCCGTACCTTATGAAACATTTGGTGACTAGTCTTTCGGGGCGTAGCACTCAGCTCGGCATGGAATCAATCATTGATGACCTGGCCCACAATCACGCATCTGTTTGCAGACTAGGCCTCGCTTGTCCTTTATAAACATTTTGTGGCCATCATCTCAAAAAATAGGAAATCTACCAACTCTGATAGACTTCAACGAACTATGTATACCTGCTAATCACCTGTAAGAGGGTTCTCGGTGCTTTTAATGCGACGTTGATGCTGACGCCTTTCTAAAAAGAGAACCACCCGGAAGATACACAGGTGATAGAGCATTCCAATGTTGTGTTACAAAACAAGGACATCTCAAGCGTAGTCTGTACCACAGAGATAGGACAATGCCACACACCCAAGTGTCTATGTGCAATGTTTCTGGGCTGAGTGGTAGACGTTCATCAATCAGCTCCAGTCTCCCAAAAATTTCGAAACCAGAAGCAGCTACCTCTCACCGGAAATTGTGGATCTATCAAGCCAATTTCGACGATCGATCCACAGGCCCCAAGCCCTCAACCGAGACCTGATCAACACGACCATTAGGCTTGCAGATGCTCCGAAGAATGGGAACTTGATGACTTCCTGTCCAATGGTTATCCGGTGAAAAGGAGCATCGTTCTGCTCCAGTCCCTTGACACCTTGACATTCAGAGTCAGCTAGGTATAAATCCCGTGTCATCGCTTCACTGGGGCACCAAACGCATAGTGTCGCGGTAAAAGCCCTTGCTCATAAACTCATGCCCGGTCGCGGGGGTTCAGTTCATTTTCCTAATTTTAGTTCTGCTTCTTCCAAATGAACAAGTTGTGATGAGCTGACAGACAGTTTTATCTCGATACCCTATGGACTGATTCATGTTCGAGCACAATGTTGCTTCGTGACCCTTTCCTCGCAGTCCTGGCCTTAATGGCCATTCCGACGATATTTATATCACGAAAAGGCAGCGATGTCTCTAGCAGTGGCAGTGACAGCAGTGGCTCCAGAGGCTCTAGTGACTCCAGCGACCCCAGTGGTAGTGATGAGACCTCTTTATGAAAATCATCATCCGCAGATGGAAGCCACTGCTCTACTAAACACTAGCTAGATTTCGATTATCTTTGACTTTCGAACTACTAAACATACAATGAGGCACCCTGCTGTGATCATACGAGTGCTAAGCCTGATTGGGATAGGGTGGAAATGCGAAGCTAGTATGAAATACATAATTACAGCACCGCCAAAGAATTAATATAAGGTGATGTCGTTAGTTTAGCTTTGAATTAATGTCTAGTCAGTAGGCAATCTATACATAAACGAGGTATTGCATAAGTTAGTGCTAAAAAATCTCACTCCTGCTGGACCTATGAATCTAGCCAAAATTCCCTTTAATTAGCCCACAAGAATATACTTCAATGGCTTTATGACCAACGGAATTCTGAAGTTGAATTTCTCAGGCTCGACACTCAGTGGGTTCGAACATCATTAACAATAGCCCAACACTGACACAAAAGTGGATCCGACCTTCAAAGTCATGACGCTGCAAATTCGACGCAGGTGGTTCTGATAGGGGCGTCAAGCCCTAAAACGTCACTAGTAGACTTTGAGATTGTGACCAGTAGTGCTAATACGGTAAGTTTCTCATTATACTACGTACTACTATCGTTGTTGGTGAGTTTGGGGGTGCTCGTTGGGTGAGCGTACAACTTTGGGAGGAAACACATCAAGTTACCACCAATATCAATCATACATTCTATTTTCCCACATTCTTTTCATTCTCATGATGTAAAACCATCGAGAACAAGCAAGTTGATCTTCAACTTACCCTCCACCTTTCTGTTAACACTTCAACGGGGTCCAAAATCATTAGGCTAAATATCCAAATAGCAAGTAACCTCCATATACACATGGTTAGTATCCGTTTTTGCCTCGGACAATTGCATAACAAGGTCCACCCTTGCTAAACATGGCCTGCAAGTCCTGGACAATACATTCTGGAACCTCCCAAGCGGCAAAGTGACCTCCATATGGATGCTCAGTCTGTTGAACAACCGGCCCCAAACCAGCAGCCCAAGAGCAAGGAACAACGATAATTTCACGAGGGAGGTGCGCAATTCCTAGCTTTACGCGCGGGACATATGGAATCAAGTCTTTGCAGGATTTTCCATTTGCCCCCTCAGCGTGAAAAGCCTCATAGTAGATGCGAACACTAGCCGCAGGTCCAGCTGCAGAGAACCAGTAGATAGATACCCACGTTAAAATCTCCTCGTCAGTCCAGGGATATGAGTCTGTCCATTCGTGCAGCTTCTCGTAAATCCAGGCTAACAGAGCAACAGGGCTATCTTCTAGTGCTACGCCAATGGTCTGGGGCCTTGTGCTTTGGAGCAGGTTGTAACCGTAGCCTTCTCGCATGAACCCTTCGCTCCTTTCCCGGCCTGCTTTCTCTCGGGCATTGTATGGTACTAATGCGTGTTGCAGGGCTGCCCATGGGTTATCGGTGAATCGAGGGGGTTTGGCTTGCACCATGTTGATATGAGAGGCTTGGCAATGCTCGGGGTATAGTAGACCGATTTTTCTACTAATTAAAAATCCCCAATCTCCGCCCTGGGTCACTATGCGTAAAACCCAATTAGTCTCGGGTGTGGCTGGTACATTCTGGTTCCTTCCTGGACATACCATACTGATCATAGCCTAGCTTGGTCATAAGCTTGTGCAGGACTTCGGCATACTGTGCGAGGCCAAATCCACGACGAGTCACTCCTGAGGAGAAGCCGAAATTGGGCAGTGATGGAGCCACAACATGAAAAGCGGGACTATCGGCGTCGCCTTTCAGCATCGGTAATAGTTTTGTGACTTCAATGAACGATCCTGGCCCTATATTTAGATATAAGAGAACGAACTGCGATCGCAAAATACATGAACGCGATAGAAGAGGAGATCGATGCTCACATCCATGGCTAAAAAGCAGCGGAATCGCGTTCTTGTTGGCATTGATTTGGTGGACATCTAAATGTTTAAGCCCGTGAATATTCAACCCCTGAGAATCTGTCCATAGAACTAACAGTGGATACTCAAAGTGCCAAATCCCTCCACCTCGATCTGCATTTGATATTGGGGCAGCTCATTCAACTTAGCTTCTGCCTTTCGCCAGTCAAAGCCATTCTTCCAGTACTCTACAAGTCGCTGTACTTCTTTCACTGGAGTTCCAAAGTCCCATAGGTCTTGTTCCGAAGACTCCAGCTGAGTCGGAAATTTGCACAACGCTAGGCGTTGTTGGAGGTCTTGGAGATTCTCGTCGGGAACGGAGATCTTGTACAGTCTTGTTTGATCAACCATTATGTTCTTAAATTGAATTTGATGAAAACTAGAAGCTGTCCGAAGGAAAGATAAGAAGGGAAGCGGGGTGGCGAAGGCTTTGGTGAGATGAAGTCAGCCAAATGCAGATCCTCCGCCAGACCCCAACCACTGCAGTCTGCAGTGATACCTTGTTTTGGTCATGTGTGGAGCATAGCGGGCGCTGCGAGGTTGCCGTGCCACCCCAAGGCGAAGGTGTCCTCCCAAGCCCCCGCCCTTTCCATCCCACACCGACCAACACAGCAGGGTGCGAAGGGGCAGAGCGGCCAAAGGTCATATGCCTGATTTTTCAGAGCTGATGCCTTGAAAGCCTGAGTTCTGCCTTATTTTAGACTGGCAGAAATTAAAAATACCTGAATTACTAGTTATGATCGACAAACACAATGTACCCGTGATTTTGATGTGGTATACCTCCCAAATGAAAGCCCAATTCAAGGGGTTTGTCCTGCAAAAGGTTGCCAAATCAATATTGGAAGGTGAGTGCCCCTATTCAATGACACGGCTATTGCTAACTCTGCTAGTCTGAGGAAATGTGATAGAAGTACCCACATTCACGAATGTGTCCGCCGTGAGAAAGCTTTTGACCTTCAAGTATCAGATTCAAGCATGCGGTTTTGTTATAAATGCATAGAATGGTTTTTATCAAGTCAGTGGAGGGACCGTTGTGATACCCATCTCCAGTCGTAGCAAACCCAGCACTAAGAAGTAATCATGTATCGCTATACCATCATTCGCCCCGGTTACTGCCCCTTTTGCTTATGGGACCCGGAGCTTTTTGCGGAGGACAGTTTGTGATACTAGCTGCGAAGTGATAACCTGAGGGAACACATTGAAGGGCAGCACTTGGCTAGGATTCGGAATTGTCAGACAAAGCCGCTATGCGGATGCTCTCAAACCTTGAACAGTGAGCGTGACCTTCGGCATCACTTGCACGACGCGCATGGGCTAAAAGAAACCATATGGCAAAATCCAAAGCTACCCAATAAGAGAAAGCGCGCTTGCAAGGGGGAGGCACAAAGCTGTTCAACAGAACCAGAAGAGGAGCGTCCTAAGAAAATCCAATTCCATCACTACCTACCTTCACGTCATGAACGTGAGCACTGTGTGTTAGAAAAATTGATGCAA